TGTCTTTGTCCCAGATTTGTGCTCAAGGCAAGATAAAACAAAACCAAAGAAAAAATATCATCATGTAACAGAATCAAATGAAACATTCATTGGAAAAATTTACTTGTATTTCCAGAAGATATGGGTATTTCTGAACCCTGGAAAATAATATATATATATATATAATGCAAAATTTACATGTCTTCCAATTTCAACTAAAACATATCCAGTTTTCCTCATATGCTGCTGTAATCTCAATGTGAGTCAATGCCAGGGGGTTTAAGAAAACACTGAAAAGATGAAAGCTTTCGATTTGTGGTAAGATAGCACACCTATCACACATCAGAAAACAAGTCTTAGCAACTAAAATCACACCACCACTGGTACCTTTTTTATTCTCAAATAAATGCTTTTGCCTCTGGCTCCTAGTGGTATGTTGCAATGCACAGAAAGCAGGTATCTCTGAGCCGACCGGTTAATCTAGTGATATGGGAAACGACTGCATGTGGTGGCTTGTTGTAACTCAGGATGTTTTTTCTTTAAAACCCCAGAGATGAACAATTTCTCATTATTTATGTCTATTCCTTATGTGTCTTCTCCACTGCTTGTATCTGAGACTTTTTTTTCTCTATAAAGATTGCAAATGTCTTAACTGCTATGCCTGTTTAGTAAATCTGCAGTTGAATCATTCTGGGATCTGTCAGCCATTCCAGTCCCTCAGTTACATATTCTTGAGGAACGACAGCTTGGATCAATACTTGGTGTTCTCAAAACACCAATACAGTCCTTCCAATGAGTAACAAAATAAAGTATTCTCCCTGATTCCAAATGACAATTAACAGGAATCAAAGAATAATTATTGAAAATGTGAAATTGTGGAGTATTGAAAATGAAACTATGGAGGACTTCAGTATTCAGTGTATATATAGTTACTGGTAGCCAATGAACTCCATAGTCTTTTTTCCATTTGTGTTCAAATGTAGAAAGAAAGTAATATAGGTTTGGAACAATTGAAGGTGAATAAACAATGATAGAATTTTCATTTTTGGTTTTACTATCCTTTAATGATTATGTAATATTGTTGTAGTGTTTGTCTTATTGCCAAGCTGATTGTTTTGCATTATGGAATATTTTTTTTTTCCTTACCAGAATGCTTTGTATATACAAACGCAACTGGCACCATCTTGTTTTTCTGTCAAACGATAGATGACTAAACCTGTAAAAATATGAATAAATGAATTAATGATAATGCACTCATTTTTTCACCTTATAATAATTTATGTATTTATTTATGTATGCATCTATTTATACGATTCCCAATGATATTTCCCCCTCCAATATAAAAATGAGGAGAGGTTGGTTTACCCCTAATGACTGATCCATTACGAAATGTACAGTTCAACTAAACACATCTTGCTGCCTCATCTTATAAGACAGAAGTTTTCATGTGCGTTTAACTATGATTAAGCCACGCAATTATTAGTGAATGGGACCCACTGTCATGCTGATAACAAAAAGGGCCCTCAAACTCCTCCCCAAACTGTTGCAAAAAACGTTGGAAGCACACAGTTCTCTAGATAGAGAATCACTGCGGCCTAGCATGAAGATAAGAGTGGTTTTCACTGGAATTAAGAGGCCTAACACATTTATTTTAAAAAAGGGATGACCTCATAAAAATGTAGATTTCACAAGAAATCCTGCCATATTGCAGAATGGCTCTGTCTCTTTCTCATTTCATATCAAACAGAAACACATTTCTCTTCAATACAATTTTGATGTAGCCTTGTTGAGAAGCTGTCAGGAACAGAATCATGTGCTGTCACATGTGGAGACTGATTCATGACTGTAGTTTTACAGGAGAGGAAATAACTTACCCAAGGAAAAAGACAAAGTCAGAGCCTGAAGATAGACATTTTAATTTTATCATGGTGGTTTTTGATGTTAAGAAATAGATATATGGAGGTAGTGAACAATTTTGCATATTTGAAAACTTGTTTGATTACATGCATATGCTTCACAATAAGGTTATATTCAGGAATATTAATGCTTTTGATATCATGAACTAACAATGAACAACAAATTTTACAGAATTTTCACAGAATTCAAGGTTAATATTTATAACATATAAATATAAATTTATAACAGTTTCCTCAACACACACATTTGCCATTAAAAGAACAAGACATCTTAGGACATCTTTTGTGCTTTTTATCATGAGAAATAAGGCAGCCAAGTGGCCAAGTGCCACTAAAAGACCATTGGGGGAAAACCTGAAGCTACTGTAATTCCATTACACCTCACTGGAGTAAGTGCAGTGCAGCCGTTTTCAACTGTGGCTTTGTTGAGGAGAAGCCCTTTAGCTCTAGTACAGCTTTAAGATGTTCAGTTGCCACATGCTCATTGATAGGACTGACAAACGGTGCCTGGTAATGCAGTTCAGTGCTTCCGGGTGACCTGGAATGTCCTCCGAGTTTCAGAAGAGCATGCAAGACAGTGAAAGCCTTAATAGGCCTCAACAAAAGCCTTCTGTCCTTTACAGAAATGGGGACTGTTGCTGTTTTTAAATTTTTTTACATATCACAACTGACCCATGATGTATGAAAACATGACAGATTTAAAAGGACCCAAAAGGAAGACCATAAAAATGCCCTCACGGTGGGGCACTATTATGTTTGCTTATCTTTGCTTTAGTTGTATTATAAAAGTAATCAGAAAGTCATGTACTATCGCAACAGCAAAAGTAATGTTCTTCAGTTTATTGTGTAGCTTACATTTGCTAAAAATACAACTGTGAAAGATGCAATACTAAATCACCGTTTTCTTATTGTCATTGTATGTGAACTTTGAAAGCATGCTGTACTGCAGAAAAGCCACATTTTCCTTTCATATTCTCAAGCTGGCTTTAGCAGAATAAAGGAAGAAATGCCAAGACAATTTTAATAGGCTAAATAAATCACATTCTCTGGCTGGTCTTACATGTTTGGAAGAAATGGAAAAATCTATATAAATTTGTTTGGTTTTCAAATGTCAAGTTTTCTTCATGGCTGAAAGTAATGAGGTCTATACCCGTTATGGTACACAGCAGAAAATAGAGAAAGATAAATAGTTTTAAACATTGATGTTTAAATTTGATGTTCTTTTTAATAATGTGAAGTTGCTTCCATCACCAAAACAGGTACATTGTGATTGATACTAGCAGATGAAAATTTTTTTTTTTA